TTCTAGCACAAGAGCCTCTCTCTTGTGTCTACTAGTGACTAGTATTCAGAATCATTGCTGCCTCCAGTTGTAGAGGCAAAGTATAGCCATCGGCTAGTAACCATCCATAGGCCTCTCCGCCAAGAATGTCTAATCCCCATTTAAAGCCATCCATCACTGCCTGCTGGTGGGGCGAGTTCCATAGCTCAGCTATGTGCTGTGTGTCTAAAATAAAGTACAGTACAGTACAGTATTCCTTTTATCTGTCCGAAGTCTTCCAACATTCAGCATCATTGGATGTCCCCAATTTCTGGTGTTCTGACAAAGGGTTTAGCTGAGATTCCTGTGTTTCAGGGGGTTGGACTAGATGACCCATGGGGTCCCTTCCAACCATAGCTGTCAACTTTCAGATTTGAAAATAAGAGATCAGCAGCCTCGAAAATAAGGGATCAGCAGCCTCACCTGTCCCAGAGACAGTCTACGGGATATCTAACAATCCCAGGATAGCAGCGGGAAACGACGCTGGAATAAGGGAATTTCCCGCAAAAAAAGGGGAAGGTTGACAGCTATGCTTCCAACTCTACTATTCGATGATAACTTCTTTATCCATCTTTTAAAAAACCCACTGCCCAGTACCTGCTGTTCAGCTTCTCATGGCGTTAGTTGTATCTGGTAATGGCTGTTTCACACAAGCACAACACGGTATGTGCAGTTATCTATGGAGAAATGCCGCAGTTTAAATAAATCAAAAAGAGGTACACTCTTTGCTCTGAGTAAATTGGCATGAAATAGGGAACAAAACAAACTGGCTGTAATGTGATATAGCGAAGTGAAACCGATACTGTGCATTTATTTAAAAGATGTACATGCCTCCCACCAGCAAAGCTTCGCAGGGACATTTACAGAAACATAGTAAAATACAAAAGTGAAAAGAGAATAGAATAAATCACAACATTTTAACAATATGTGAAGACTGCAATCAGGGTGTTAAAAGATGGGGATGGGTGGATTATAACTTTGGAAACCCTAGTCTTGTGGTTTTGTATCTATTAGGCAGGAGTCTAGTTGAAGTGGTGGAAATCAGTCTTGGTTAAGCTAGCGCTTATATGAGCCCATTTTACATATCTAAACAACTAGCTAGTGATATTTGCAGAAAAGGAGGTAAGACAGAAGTTAGTCTCTTCTGGACTTGGAAAGACCTTCAGGCTTGGCTTGCTGAAACCCAAACTATGACGGGGGGTGGGACTCCCTGGAAACCAGGGTTTATTTTAGGGGGGCAGGCTTTATGTTGGGGGGCAGAACTGAGTTATCCATGATGCAATTGGTCAGTTAGTTAATTATTTTTATTCATTTACTTGATGGGGGGGCAGTGCACCCCTTGGCTACGTCCATGCTGGAAACCTAATGGGGGAGCAACTTCTATTGGAGTATTAATGCTGTGAGTCCTTCCATCTCATTCTTAGGTTGTATACGTGTGTAAATAGAGCAATATGACAAAAAACAAACAAACCACCACAGTCTCCAGGGACCGTTACAAGGAAATCTAAACCAAAGTAGGTGCCGGCACCCCTGAAATCTCTCACAATTTGCAGTGTGTGCTTGTGTAAGTGTAACAATATGCACACTTAGGTATAAGGTCCATTGAATTTAAGAGACTTTTTAGGATTGCATTGTAATTTTAGGATGCCACGGACTTTATCTCATATGAGGATGATGGAACAGAGCTTTGATACAAAGGCAGATTAATAATGCACAGGTTAATGCAGAAGCAAACATTCCTTCAGCTACCTGCATAGGGTTTTTAAGGTAAACACCAACTCTTGAATTGGACTCTTACATGGACCGGAAGGCACTGGGAGTTCTCAAAGTGCTTATACAATATATTTAGTCTCAGTTTATACAGTATGCATTTTGCAGTTTCATTGTCACAGTGAATTAATCCACATGAATTGGTTTTATCAGTATGAAACAGAAGTAGAAACGGATATAGAGTGGTACCTCAGTTAAGAACAGTCTGGATTAAGAAACTATTTGGTTTACAGAAATAGTTACTATTTGGACAGAAATAGTTTCCTGGTGTGAGAACTTTGCCTCGGTCTAAGAACGGAATCCGAACAGTGCAAGGGCACTGGTGACAGGAGGCCTTATTAGGGAAAGCGCGCCTCTGTTTAAGAACGGTTTTGGTTTAAGAACAGACTTCCGGAACGGATTAAGTTCATAAACCAAGGTACTTGGTTTTATAGTGATTTGTAAGTGGCGTTACAGCTAACAGTGTAAAAGACGAAATGTAAGTTCCATTACATTCTGACAAAAGTCCAATATAGCAGAGCGATACTGAATTGACATTGCTCCCTCATCTTGAGGTGGTGATGATTGTAACCAACATGTGCTGAGGTCTATGACACGGTATGCCTCAAGACCTGTTCACAAGACAACTGCAACAGGGCTGTTGTTTTTGCCGGGGGGGGGTGCGTTTCTTGATCGCATTCCTTGGAAAATACGGAGGCTCTGTAGCACCACCCACACCTTTTAATCTTGATTCTTAGACAAACCAGAACAGCATCTTAGTGGCTAAGGATACGGTTACTATAGTAATAACTGTAAACACTGGAAAGGCACCGCCAATCCTGTCCCAGTGTTCCAATAGCAACAGAGGAAATGGCTTCCAAAGAATCCACAACTTCTAGGAGTCAAGGTATATTTTTTACAGAATTTCATTGAGTAAAACTTTATTATTTATTATATTTTTCAGATATATACATTTCACTGATTTTACAATCATTTTGACATTTTAAATCTTAACTTCCTCCCCCCTCTTTCTGCAGTTCCTTAAATTTATTTTTAATATCTTCTGCATATCCAAATTAACTTGACTTACTCATTTATTTACCTTCTTTAAGTATATACTCTTATGTAACTGCAGGTTATGACAATAATCCTCCCAGTGTTTTTATCTGTTTACAATTTATCTGTAATATTCAACAAACCATTTCCCATTCTTTTATAAAAAGTTTGTTATCTTGATTTTTTATTCTCCCGGTAAGTTTCACCATTTCTGCATATTCCATAAGTTTTGTATCCATTCTTCCTTTGCTAGGACTTCTGCTTCTTTCCATTTTGGGGCAAGTAGCATTCTTGCCGCTGTAGTCGCATATATGAATAAGTTTCTATACGATTTAAGTAGTTCTATCCCTGTAATTCCCAAGAGAAAGGATTCTGGGTTTTTTACAAATGTTATTTTAAACATCCTTTTCATTTCATTGTATATCATTTCCCATTGAGTAAAACTTTAAACAAACAAACAAACAAAAAGAATAAATATAAGCAAAGTTGTGATTTAGCACATGCTGAGCAAACAGTATCAACTGAGGTCTGAAGACACCTTAGCACAAAGGCATAAATGAGGATCAGAAAAATCATTGTACGTGGAACAGGGAAACTGAAGAGCTATCGTTAAAAGTCTTTTTAGGAGCACCTTTCTAATTAAGCTAAAAAGTGGCTCATCCCAAAGGCAACGACCAATACAAACCATAAGAAAATAGGTTTTTAAAAAAGTAACTGTTTCCAGATGTTCAAGTTCCCTGGACTTGCTTGCAGTTCAGGAGGTGAGCTCATGAAGAAGGGTGGTCCCTGGGGATTGTCTTGCCCACGTTTCCTCCAAAATCTGGAAATGACACTCACTTTTGGACTTGTATGGGGATACCTGGCTTTGAAGCCCCACTTCTCATGAAGGTAATTTTGAATCAGTCAATACAGACTCAGCTTAAACCATCCTTCATTGCTTATTCGGTTCCCCATAGTTTGCGCTTGATTTCTTCTAGTTAGAGCATCACTATTTAATCAATTAGGCTATTAATTTTTTTAAAAAGAACGCTTTCATAAAATTGTAGAGCTGGAAGGGGTCCCAATGGTCACCTTTTCAAACTCCCTGCAATGCAGGAATCGCAGATAAAGAATCCCTGACCGATGGCCATCCAACCTCTGTTTAAAAACCTCCAAGGAAGGAGACTCCACCACCTTTGAAGGTAATCCATTCCACCATCAAGCAGAAAGCTCTTCCTAAAGTTTAGTCAGAATCTCCTTGTCATTTGGCTCCATGGTCGAGTCCTACCTTCTGGAAGCAGCAGAAAACAAACTTTCTCTGTCTTCCACATGGCAGCCCTTCAACTAAAAATTGTCACAGTTAAAAAGACAGTACATTAAAAATATATATATTAAGATGACTTTAAAAATTAAGCACTACTTTAAAAAGGTCATTTTGTCTTTCACATACAGGAGAATTATCTTCCCAAGATGAAGCCTGCTACCAATATACAGGCACATGATCTAAGAACAAGAAATGTATGGTTCCCCCCCACACACACCTTCAGTATGATATTCCCACCCCCTTATATGTTGCTTTGTGCAAATTCAATTGATTCATTAATATTTCCTTCATTTGGGTTACAGCCCTAGTTTCTACGCTTCCTGAGGTGAACTATTTCCCAATTCATCAGACAAGTAAGTACATATTCCATGTTCTGTCCTCAGTTGCTGACCAAGTGGCCATCAAGGAAATTATCCAGATGTGGAGTCCATAGACCATGAAGCAGCCGACTATGGAGATCAGTTACTAATGTGAAGGAGCCTTTAAACAGCCTCTGCCTGGCATTTTTATTCTGTGTGAGGTTTGTTATGTACTGAAGTTCTCACCCTGGGCCAGCAGGCGGATACTGTAGATAGTTTTCACTCAGGTCCACATATGCAAATAAGGGATTGAAAGTGACGTTCAGTGATTGGATAGTTACAGAAAATTGTTACAGTTGCGTTGTAGTGGAGCTCTATATATAAGCAGGTTGGCTGAATCCTTCAGTTCAGTTCAGTTCTGGCCTGTGAATAAACAAGAGCTGTTTGAAGAATTGCTGTGTCGTTTGATATGTTCACCCACAGCTTAACAAGGTTCCTTCTCCTGCTGAAAGGAAAGGCCCTGAGATTGCATCAAATATTATCGTATTTGGAGTTACTAAAATCTTTCTATATCTGAAACAAAAATAATTCAAAAACTTCATATGGTTGTACAGTATCTTAAGCTTAAAGGATAGGGGCAACTTTATCATTGTTATTGTTCTGCTCTTCTTGCAAATCTTTACAAAGGAGCTCTGCTCAGTTCAGTTACAGAAAAGTTAGCTCCCCCCCCCATTGCCAGTCACTTGTTTGGGGGGGACGACGACCTAATTTATTCTGGGGAAATAGCCCTGTTGACACACCATGTAAATATGCCGCTGTTACACTATAAAGACAGCAGTGCCCCACAACTTACAGATGTTTTTCATTTGAAATTGTGCACCCCCACTGAGCATATCTCTCCCCATCATTTATTTATTTTAAATGTGAACAGTAAATACATAGGGTTGCCATATTTCAAAAAGTGAAAATTCAGACACAAAAGTTGTTTATCTTTTTTGGGGGGTGGGATTGCCAAATAATCAACACTATGTCTGGGAAATTATGGGTGTATGACAGCCACATACATACATACAGTGGTACCTCGGTTAACATACACTTCAGGTTACATACGCTTCAAGTTATAGACTCTGCTAACCCAGAAATAGTACCTCGGGTTAAGAACTTTGCTTCAGGATGAGACAGAAATCATGCTCTGGTGGCGCGGCGGCAGCAGGAGGCCCCATTAGCTAAAGTGGTGCTTCAGGTTAAAGAACAGTTTCAGGTTAAGAACAGACCTCCGGAACGAATTAAGTACTTAACCCGAGGTACCACTGTAATTTATTTGTATGCCACCTTTGCACAGTTCAAATCATGCTCCAGGCGGCTTACTACAGGGGGAAAAATAATACAGTGGTACCTCAGGGAGGACACTACTAACGGTGTTGCCGGGCATATGGCACCCATGTTGGAAAATTTAATTTTTTCCAGAGGTTTTGCAAAAAAAGAAAAGAAAAAAGAAAAACTCAACAACTTTGCCCAAAAAAGTGTCCTTGCAGTAAAACAACTAACTTCCTCTCTTGTCTTCATCTCTAAAGATGAAGGCGTTCTGATTCAGTCCAAAACAGGTACTGGCTAACTCTCACCATGATTGGGCAGCTATTTTAAGGCTAAACAGGCCCTGACAAAACTGGCATGGTGCTGCTCTTGATCATCTATACACACTGAAAACCCTTTCTTGTTTCCAGTTTTGTTGACAGTAGAATTGCACCGCAGCCTACTTTGTTCAGAGTTAGGTTCTTGTCATGTACTGAGCTGAATCTTAGAACAATAGTATCCAGAATGCAGCAGTCTGATTGGTCCAAGAGCCACCCAATCCAGCTCCAGATGGAAGTGAATCAGCGACCTGATTGGCCTGCAGGAGCAGCCCGGAATTAGCCAAATCACGCGGGGCCCATTCTGTAAATAATGTATATATAGCTAGACGTTTTGGGGGAAAGTTTCATTCATTGCTACTATGAGCTGAATAAAGAGCATGAAATTTCACACTCGACTCTGAGTATATTTCAGTTCTCTTTGGTAATACTGATCATATTTCCTAATTTCCTAACATGGAAACTATGCATTGTAGAAATAGATATTCAGTATATACTATATAGTGTAGGTAGCAAGCATATGATTAATCTCTCATTTGCTCATAAAGGGGTATGAATTAAAACTTAAAATTGATATCTATTCTGAAAAAAGTCCCAGCGTTCATGAAATAGTACTCCTATATATGTGTGCATAGGCTGCAATTTGTTAGAAGTCCCATTGAACTCAACAGGGCTTACGTCCAAGTAAGCCACATATATACAGTATGGCACGATTTTATTTCTTACACAAATATCGAGGCACAATGATCACTCAGTGCTGCCACTATGTGCAAATGTCTCGATCATTTAAGTCTATATAGAACCTTTATTCTCAATAATGATGGAACTCCCAGCTGGAGAATACTTTTATTTTTTTAAATAAATCTTTATTGTTTGTAAAGGAAATCTTTGTAGGAGTTAATATTTTATTATCCCTTTGGAGCTGTCTTTCCAGGCTGTGACTATGGTTTAATTTTTAAAAGATTTTTTAAAAATATTTTTCTTTTTCTTATGTTTGCACCTGTTTTTTTCATTAACAAAGCAATAGAATTAAAAAGGAAAAAAATATTTCCTCTCTACCAGCATTCCATATCAGACGGCTTTAAAACTCTTTGAGAAGCAGTTGATCATATTGTATGCAGGCTATCAGAAGAACGCAATCCTAAAGCCCCATTTGGCATGTAGAGCTAATTGCAAGGTTCTTTTATGAGTATTTCTTGGTTTTGTTGAGAAGGATAGTTGAAACACATTTTACTTTTCTTTGTTTTTATAGAATGTCGTGGGAAAAAGGATCTCCACAATGTAAATCTGACAAATCTGAAGAAGATCCCACAAAGGTAGTTAAGATTGACTTCAAGAAAGTTGACAAACTCGATATTACAGTACTTTGCTCCATATGCCAACAAACGGTACACATTAGCGAAATTCTTTTCCATAAAAAAGTCCACCAGGCTCTGGCAGTACTGGATTATCACCGGCCATGGGTGGAATCAATAGATGTAAATAAAATAGTTCTTCAGAGAAAACGCCTGCTTTTAAAAATGAAAAAATATAAGACTCCTAAGTATGTTGAACGAAAGACGGAGAAGATTGGCTGTTCATTTGATCTCCTTAAAGAAAGCATGAAGCCAACTCCATATTTTTGCATTGATAGTATTGCTCAAAGTTCTGTGCACGTTGAAGAAGTTACCAATCCACTGATAAAAGCCATCGCAATATGTCAAGACAAAAATGCTCGTTGGCATGAAAACTTGGAAGACGTATTTGTCGTGTTAGACAATTATGGGAACAGGGCAGGTACGTCCTTTCTTGGGGTTTTTGATGGAAGCGATGGAATCTCTGCTGCAGAGACGACGTCCGTGGAACTTCCCGTTTTACTCCTTGACCAGCTTTCTCACGAAGATCCGTCCTACCAAGTGAGTGAAGCTGGGAAAGAATTCATAGATTCCTTCTGCACCGTCTTCAGGGCAGATTACATAGTGAGGGAGAGACTTTTCACTCAGAAGGGTGCCAGAGGCAAGAAGTCTTGGCCAGGTGATTATGAATGGATTCACAGAGCATATGCGAAGTCTTTCTGGCGTATGGACAGGCTTTTGGCGGCTTGGGAGAAACGAAGTTTCCAGAGTCTGCTGGAGCAGTTGTACAGCTGCCACCTGTATAATAGAAAATATAAGCAACGAAAAGGAAAGCCAACCTGAAGAAGAGGAGGAGAAAATGCTTGAAAAGGTAACTGAGGAAGAGGAACAGAACGTCGGACAACAGAGCGAGGAGGAGATGCCTAAAAGGATATTCATAGCAAAGAAAAAAGGTGACGCAGAACAGGGAGTGGCTCTGCTTATAACTAAGAAAGAGAGGGGGCAGTGTCACAGAACAGCAGCCAGAGGAGCCACTTGGAGGAACCAACGGCAAAAAGGAAAGCAGCACAGTAGAGTCAGAAAACAATGAGCAGGTTGCCAATAATAAGGATGTGATTCAGGAAGAGAATCTGCTTGAAAGCAAGGAACAGCAGCAAGAAGAATCACTTGAAAGAACAGATGATCATGCCAGAGAGCCAGGGGACAATGTTCAGATTGCTGATCACATAGATGGGGGCAAGGAAGAGGGTCTCCTTGAAAACATGGAAGAGCAGCAAGGTGAGTCACCTGAAAGAACAGATGATAACACTGGAGAGCCAGGAGACAATGTGCAGATTGCTGATCATATAGATGGGGGCAAGGAAGAGGGTCTCCTTGAAAACATGGAAGAGCAGCAAGGTGAGTCACCTGAAAGAACAGATGATAACACTGGAGAGCCAGGAGACAATGTGCAGATTGCTGATCATATTGATGAGAGCCAGGAAGAGTCTCTTCTTGAAAACATGGGACAGCAACAAGGTGAGTCATCTGAAAGAACAGATGATCACACCAGAGTGCCAGGAGACAATGTGCATGTTGCTGATCATATAGATGAGAGCCAGGAAGAGGGTCTGCTTGAAAACATGGAACAGCAGCAAGGAGAGTCATCTGAAAGAACAAATGATCTCACCGCAGAGCCAGGAGACAACGAGCACATGGCAGATAGCATAGATGGGAGTCAGGAAGAGGAAGAGCTTGAAGGCGACAATAGTTCTGCACCGACAGAAGAAAAAATTGGACTCATGCATATTGCTAATATTGGTACGTATGGAATACTGTTACCATTTCCCACTACCCTACCCCATTTTAAAATTTGGGCCTGTCAGTTTTGAATGATACAGCAAGTGCCTGCAATTTAATTCAATACTGCATAGCCTTGGGTCCTAACTCACTCTCCATAAACAGAAGAGCTCTTTCCACTGGCAGAGGAAATCGGGCTCCAGCATAGGTTTTTGCCTGAGTACAGGGTGGCGTTTTGTTTTTGTTTGTTTTTTGTCTCTCATCCACTCTCTAGAGCAGATCTTTTCTTTTAAGCAAAGGGACTTCAGGGGAAAGGGGATATCAGCAAAGAATGCCACACAGACCTTCCACATGGTGGGAGTATATTGTTAGCAGAATTCCATTCGCAGAATATTCTCGCCAGCAGAACCTTAGGATCTAAGTCAACGTTTGCAAGATGAAGCACTCTTCAACTATCTCAGCACCAAAAAAATAAAGAGTGGGAAAGAGACAAGTCAATATGGCATGCAATAATTTTGAATAACAGATATCTTCTTTAATGGGATTGTTCTCACCTAAACTTTGAACTGAAATAGGAACAATAAGTCTGTATTCCTAAACTGTAACAAGCTTCCCTTCCCAAATTTTTTTTTGTCATCGGTCTGTTTCTTTGTTATGTTCAACAAACACAATCTCTCAGCAAACCATAGTTTAGCCAGTTCCTAATTCAGATGTAACAAACTATTGTTATGGACAGAGTATGTGCAAAATGGATCATCATGTGAAAAACTGATACCATCTATCTGTCTTAGCTATATTTACAAATGCCTTGGAGAAGTCAGATGGCTGATGGCTCTTTTTGGGGGGGAAGACATAAGACCTGGCAGGTTGGACATACCCCTTCAGTCAAATTATCTCCTTTTTAAGGTTTTCCTTTTCCCCAAATTTGAAAACCAGCCTCAGTCAAAGAAACATCAGCTTATTTAGGAACCGGAAGGTTGATCACTCATCTGTGGATATGGGGAGTAGAAATAGCTGTGATATTATGTGTGAACTGGGTTGTTGACTTGTTGAAAGAGGGGGAAATACTATTGGTAAAATCCTATCAAATGCATTTCATGAAAAATTGCTTAGCTGAAATCCTCAGTAATTTAAGCAGAAATACTGACGCAAGCTTATGGTAGGAAGATTACCCTTCCTGCTAACCCTTGTATTTTAATTTGTATCTCTTATAAACCTTTTCTGTCAGATGTCACAAGGAACATGCCCACTTTTCTTACATAATTGCTTCATTCTTTTATTCCATAATTGTGTTCATCATTTGCAGCTGTAGAAATGGTGAAATTCCATGATAGAGATAATTAGGAAAGGGGTTGAAAATATAACTGCCAATATATTAAAGCTGTTATACAAATCTGTGGTGTGACTGTACTTGGAATACTATATACAATTCTGGTCACCACACATAAAAAGGATATGGTAGAGCTGTAAAAGTTTCAGAAAAGGACAAGGATGACGGGGATGAATCAACTGCCTTATGAGGAAAGATGATGATGATATTTATATGCCACCCATCTGACTGGGTTGTCCCCGCCACTCTGGGCGGCTTCCAACAAAATATTAAAATACTGTAATATGTCAAACATTAAAAGCTTCCCTAAACAGGGCTGCCTTCAGATGTCTTCTTAAAGTCTGGTAGTTGTTGTTCTCTTTGACATCTGGTGGGAGGGTGTTCCACAGGGAGGGCGCCACTACCGAGAAGGCCCTCTGCCTGGTTCCCTGTAACTTGGCTTCTCACAGTGAGGGAACCACCAGAAGGCCCTCGGCAGTGGACCTTAGTGTCCAGGTAGAACGATGGGGGTGGAGACGCTCCTTCAGATATACTGGACCGAGGCCGTTTAGGGCTTTAAAGGTCAGCACCAACACTTTGAATTGTGCTCAGAAACGTAAGGGAAGTCCCCCTCCCCCCGCACCTCCAATCATACTACAGTGGTGCCTTGGTTTACAACCATAATCCATTCCGGAGGTCCGGTTGTAAACCAAAACAGGTTGTAACCCAAGGCGCGCTTTCGCCAATGGGGCCTCAAAAAAAAAATGGGTTGCAATCCAAAAAAAGGGGGCCATGCACTTCCAGGTTTGATGTGTTTGTAATCCAAAATGGTTGTAATCCAAAACGGTTGCAAACCAAGGTACCACTGCACAACCCAGGGTTATCTTTTGGAGGAAGATTCAGGACTGACAAAAGGAGAAACTTCTTTACACAGTACTAGGGTTGCCATATGTCTGGAATTTCCCGGACATACCCGGAGTACTGAAGCCAGAAGCAGTGTCTGGGCAGAAATCGGCTAAATGTCCAGGAAAATCTGGACGTATGGCAACCCATGTCAGCAGTGTCGTTTTTGTCAATTTCCCTTAAAAATAGCTAAAAAACCTCCTGTTATTTCATATTTTTTTTCAGCTTTTGCCCAAAAGCTCAGCAACTGTCTGGATTTCCACTTCTTGAAATATGTCAACCCTGTACACAGTACATAACTGCAATATGTAGTACTGGTCACCAACTTGGATGGCTTTAAAATGAGTTTAAACAAATTCGTGGAGGTTAAGGCTATCGGTGGCTACTAGCTATTATATCTCTCTACTACCTCCAATTCCAGAGGCATGGTTGGGGAGCGCAAGTGGAGAGAGTTGCTTTTACACTCATGCCGTTCTTTTGGGTGGCCACCATGAGAACGGGATGCTGAACTGAATATCAAAGCCTTTGGCTCTTCTTAAATGACTGCTGCCGTGTCTTATGGACATAACCTCGGCTCCAAAGAGATAAATATTTGCGCTTGACTCAAAATGATCCAGATTCTTTTACTACCTGAGTTCTAAATCCAGTCTGTTGAAAAGTTGCCCTCTAAGATCCAACATGTTTTACATGCATACTTTCATTTGGAGCCAGATATTATTATTTTTGAACAAATCTGATAACTTTTTTTGGCAGTGACTGGCATCTGGGAGGTACCCAGCTATAGATGTGACAGAAGCTACATAGCAGACATGGAAAACAGCAGTCCTAATGATCTCATAATTTTCAGGGAAGATAAGTCTGTCAGTAGCTACTAGGCGTGATGCTTTTGCTCTGCCTCCATAGATCAGTGTTTCCCAACCTTTTTTGGGCAAAGGCACACTTGTTTCATGAAAAAAATCTCGAGGCACACCACCATTAGAAAATGTTAAAAAATTTAACTCTGTGCCTATATTGACTACCATATTTTTCGCCCCATAGGACGCACCGCCCCATAAGACGCACCTAATTTTTTGGGGGGAGAATAAAGAAAAAAAAATTTTTCCCCTCCCCAGGCACGGGGCAGGCGCGGGGGAAACCCAAGCTTCCCCCGACCCCAGCCCCCAGAACAGCCTGATATCCGCAAGCCTAGGGAGCCACACTGGTCTCCCCAGGCTTGCGGAGAGGTGCGTGAAGCCCGGGGGCGCTCTTCAGCGCGCACCAGGCTTCGGGATGCAGGCAGCTCTGCACTACCCTCCAGAGCCCCGTGCGGCTTCGCGCTGGGATCCGGGGGGTGGCGCGGAGCTGCAAGAAGCCCTGGAGCGCAGGCAGCTTCGCACCACCCTCCGCAGCCCCGCGCGGCTTCGGGCCGGGATGGGGGGGGGTGGCGCGGAGCTGCAAGAAGCCCTGGAGCGCAGGCAGCTCCGTGCCACCCTCCGCAGCCCCGCGCGGCTTCGCACCGGGATCCGGGGGTGGCGCGGAGCTGCAAGAAGCCCTGGAGCGCGGGCAGCTCCGCGCCACCCTCCGCAGCCTCCTACGGAGGGCGCCCCGTGCTCCGCGCTGCTGGCTGCCGCCCGCAAGCCGTGCACGCGGGGGGGAGTTCCCCTGGGCGCGCAAGGCTTGCGGACAGCTGCGCGAAGAACGGGGCGTCCTCCGAAGGACGCCCCGCGCTGCAGGCTGCCGCCGCAAGCCTTGCGCGCGGGGGGGGGGAGTTCCCCCAGGCGCCCAAGGCTTGCGGACAGCTGCGCGAAGCACGGGGCGTCCTCCAAAGGGCGCCCCGCGCTCCGCGCTGCAGGCTGCCGCCCGCAAGCCTTGCGCGCCGGGGGGGAGTTCCCCCAGGCGCCCAAGGCTTGCGGACAGCTGCGCGAAGCACGGGGCGTCCTCCAAAGGGCGCCCCGCGCTCCGCGCTGCAGGCTGCCGCCCGCAAGCCTTGCGCGCCGGGGGGGGAGTTCCCCCAGGCGCCCAAGGCTTGCGGACAGCTGCGCGAAGCACGGGGCGTCCTCCAAAGGGCGCCCCGCGCTCCGCGCTGCAGGCTGCCGCCCGCAAGCCTTGCGCGCCGGGGGGGGAGTTCCCCCAGGCGCCCAAGGCTTGCGGACAGCTGCGCGAAGCACGGGGCGTCCTCCAAAGGGCGCCCCGCGCTCCGCGCTGCAGGCTGCCGCCCGCAAGCCTTGCGCGCCGGGGGGGGAGTTCCCCCAGGCGCCCAAGGCTTGCGGACAGCTGCGCGAAGCACGGGGCGTCTTCCAAAGGGCGCCCCGCGCTCCGCGCTGCAGGCTGCCGCCCGCAAGCCTTGCGCGCCGGGGGGGGAGTTCCCCCAGGCGCCCAAGGCTTGCGGACAGCTGCGCGAAGCACGGGGCGTCCTCCAAAGGGCGCCCCGCGCTCCGCGCTGCAGGTTCCCGCCCCCCGCCCCGCTTCGGAGCACCGGGAGAAGCGATCTCCCCGCAGCCCCTTGCTTCAAAAGAGGTCCGGGGGCAGCGCGAAGCGCTTCCCGCTGTCCCCGGACCTCTTTTGAAGCAAGGGGCGGTGGGGAGAAGCGATCTCGGGCGCCGCGCCGCCCCGCCTCTCCCGCCTCCCTCCCACGGCACACCAGGCAAGGTCTCACGGCACACTGGTGTGCCGCGGAACACCGGTTGGGAAACACTGCCATAGATGAAGTAATGCTTCTGAATACCAGTGGCTGGAAACACAGAAGAGGGGAATGCTATTGTGCATGGGTCCTGTTTGCCCATTTCCCACAGCCATATACAGTGGTAACTCAGGTTAAGTACTTAATTCGTTCCAGAGGTCCGTTCTTAACCTGAAACTGTTCTTAACCTGAAGCACCACTTTAGCTAATGGGGCCTCCTGCTGCTGCCGTGCCGCCGAAGCCCAATTTCTGTTCTTATCCTGAAGCAAAGTTCTTAACCTGAAGCACTATTTCTGGGTTAGCGGAGTCTGTAACCTGAAGCGTATGTAACCCAAGGTACCACTGTACCTGAAGGAGCATCTCCACCCCCTCCGAGGGCCTTCTGGTGGTTCCCCCCCCCCCTGCGAGAATTGAGGTTGCCGGGAACCAGGCAGAGGGCCTTCTCAGTAGTGGCACCCGCCCTGTGGAACGCCCTCCAATCAGATGTCAAAGAAACAAACAACTACAGTGGTACCTCGGGTTACATAGCTTCAGGTTATGAACGCTTCAGGTTACAGACTCTGCTAACCCAGAAATAGTACCTCGGGTTAAGAACTTTGCTTCAGGATGAGAACAGAAATCGTGCTCTGGCGGCGCAGCAGCAGCAGGAGGCCCCATTAGCTAAAGTGGTGCTTCAGATTAAGAACAGTTTCAGGTTAAGAATGGACCTCCGGAACGAATTAAGTATGGTACTTAGCCCGAGGTACCAGTGTATCTGACTTTTTAAAGACATCTGAAGGCAGTCCTGTTTAGGGAAGTTTTTAATGTTTGATGTTTTGTCGTGTCATCATCATCTAGGTGTCCACTGAGAACAGAATGGCTTGATCCAGCAATCCTTATGTCTAATTGTACAAAGCTTTTTGCCATGTCACTGTACTGCACATTTGTCTCCCCTCATTGGACACTGAGAATCTCAATGCAATTGTGATCCTACAGAGGTGTAATGGGGTGTTAGGGGAGGAGTAGTACCTCTGGTGGGGGACACATTGCGCTCCTTCTAGGGTAGTTTGTCTACCTTTGGTCCCTACCCTCCACTCAGCTCTCACCTGTGGCTCCAAGAAGCTGTCAGCCTGTGGCAGTGGCCACATCCTGGGAATGACTTCGACTGGATGTAGCCAAGGGCTCTGAAACCCTCAGCGAGTTAGGGACTTCCCTTGCATGGGAAGAAAGGCTCCGGCAGATTGAGCAGAGACCAATGGTCAAAAAGGTGGTTTCTACACGGGCCGTAGAGGGAAGTGAGGGGCAGATGGGGCTCATCAAGCTGGGAAGGCAGCCCATCTAGGAAAAGGAAAACTGATCCTAAACTTCCGCTGCCTTGCGGGGTATTTTTGGGAGAAGAGAAGGCTAAGGAATAAACACAAATCTGGAGCACAGTCCCCAATATGGTTGGATAGTACCTTGCACGCCTCCTTCTGACAACTCCTGCAGCCAGGTTGGTGCCAAACGTATAGCTGTGATTTCCTTTGGACTACATCAGAGAAGGTGAGAAGGGGGGTCTTGTTGTCTGGGCAGCCCAGGACGACCTCCATACACACTGCCTGGAGAGGTCACTTCGGTGCTGCTAACACAGTGGTTTTGACTTCACCCCTAGAAGTGCGCTCCACTGTCTCTTGAGACAGATGGATGCAAGCTATTTTGCACAACTAAAACAGCCTTCCCCAAATGTGTTCCCTCCAGATGCCTTACACTACACAACTCCCATCATCCCTAAGCATTGGGACCACGCTGTCTTGAGCCAGTGGGGTGTTTTAGCTTAATGCATCTGGAGAATACCAGGATGGAGAGGGCCTTACTAGATATTGCCAGTGGAACCTGCTCTAGCCATGTTTGCATCTAGGGTACTGCAAGATGTACAAATGATTTGATCAGGAAAATCCACCACCACTCTTCCCATTTTTCTTCTCCAACTTCACACTTTCTATGCTTCTCACAGGCCAACCAATAAGCACACCCAGTCCTCATGGGGCTATTTGAGCTTTTTACTATTTTGGTTTTGTAAACGGATGTGACATTTCTACATACTTCATGGCTCTCTTCTAATATGCCGGTACACCCTCATTTCTTAGTGGCCCTGTTTTGTATCCAAACCTATCGGCATTGAACCACCCGAGTTTGCTATTTGTCAAAATGGTAAGATGGATCAAATTTGCCATTTGCGTCCCACGGGCTCTCACTGTCTAGTTTCAGCCTATGGATGTAGTAATTTAGGTCTGTAGAAAGTGGCACTTGACTTGGAATCATGGGAGAAGGGTAGGTAAGATAAACTGAGCACTTGGGACTCAGCTAGACTTGTAAAGAAAAAGTGATTTATATGTGTTGTGTGTGCGATATAACATTGTGCCACCAGATGGTGACACAAGAGTCCCGTTTTTCTCTACCTGCTTTCCCTGTTTAAATTTACAATGCTTTGAACTGAAATGCTTCTTTGATGTGCCTAGAATCCAGCTTTAGACTGGTTATCTCCATGAATGATGAAAGATGGCAGAACATGAATTGTGTATAGAATCTGCACAGCATAACGTGTAGAGGAAAAGCAACAGCTGAAGTTTTAAGTGCTTTCAAAGATCAATTCAGTTACGTTATACAGTGATAAGTTGTGTGTGTGTTTTTTAATTGTAGGCAATGTTCATGCTGTTTTATGCAAAAATGGGAAAAGCTATTGGGTTACTAAAGAACACAGCACTTATTCTAGAGAAGAAAGGATCCGTGTTCTTAAGAATGGTGGCTATATCAGCAGCAATGAACCCAAAGGACTGATAGAAGGACTTATCAAGAGCACTCGGGGCCTTGGCCACCACGGCAATCCAAAGCTGAAAAATACTGTCATTCCTGTACCACATACAATCTCCTTTCCTGTTGACGATTCATGCCAATTTCTTATTTTAGCTTCTAATGGACTCTGGGAAGTTCTGGATAAAAGTGAAGCAGTACTATTGACATTAACAATGTTTTCTGCTTATCTGGAAAAGTATCAGCGCTCCCAACTGAAGAAAGCCCGCATGCCCAAAGGCTCTGAGTTACCTTCGAATGATTTGGAAACTGAATTCTATTCATGGTATTTAAATAAAGATTTTTTGGCAGATATTGACTTACAAAATTTAAGGTCCTCAAGTAGCGTTGTGCAAGAAGAAGAGATGGTTCAGTCACGTTCCTCAGCAGAGCAAGAACCAGAAGCAGAGGAAGAACCAGAAGAAGCAGCGGAAGAATCAGAAGCAGAGGAAAAATCAGAAGCAGATGAGGAAGAAGCTGCAGAAGAAGAAGCAGAGGAAGAAGAAGCAGCAGCAGAGGAAGAAGAAGAAGTGGAAGAGGAGGAGGAGGAAGAATCAGAAACCACTTTAGAAGTTTCTGGCTCATGGGACTTAAGTGATGATACAACTCATGAAAGCACAGAACAAACTCTAACCCCAGAGTTTGCGATAAATGTAGAAGAACCTGAACCTGAAAGTTCTGAATCTTCACAAATATCAGAAGATTCAGAAATCAATTCTAGGACATTTTATGCCCTTGCAGCTAAGTATATTAGTAAGCACCTTGTAGAAACTGCACTAAAAGCAGGTTCCAGAGATAATATTACTGTTCTGATAGCACTCTTAAATGGATGTGATAAAATACCCACTTATATTTAGCCTGTATACTGTGCTTAGGAGGATAGTTCAAGTGAAGGAAAGCTATAGCACAGTTCATCCATTTTATGATAAAAGAAACTGCCACAATAAATTCAGAAAAATGAGTTATTTTGTATAAAAAAAGACTGATTAGAATTATTTCCTTTTTTATACCACTTTATTCAAACCTGAGCACCTCAATATAAAACTAAACACTGGTGAACTGTCATTTTCCTTGCTAAGCCCAATTACTGCAAATTTACAATCTGCACATGTAAGTTTCTGCTAGCAGTTCAACATTTAAATAGATTAAATCATCTTTTCTGACACTTGGTAGATTTCATATAATGAAAATAACTAAAGAATTAGTGCAATATACTGGACAGATCAAAATAAAATGGACTTTGGAAAACAAAGTTGCAGATTTCATTACAGACAGACAGTAGTACTTATGTTACATGTACAGGAGCATCATTTATTACTTTTCTAGCCATTAAGGAAGAACTTAATCCCCCTGAGATGTGGGGAAAAGAAATGTTAGCTCTTGAAAGTAACTGTACATATTGTATACTTTTAAGCAACTCTTAAATAGTACAGAGTATTAAACAGATGTAGACTACAATGCAGTACCCTATTTACAGTACATTAATATCCCAATTTAAAATCAAGTTGAATGTACATAATTGTTAGTGCACTGACTGATTTTATTCTTAGGGGAAAGATAATTGTGTTATGGTCAACAGTGATTAAAACCAAAATCACGATATCTAGTTTTTGTTGGACATGTCTCAATAGTTTATGATGAGGGAAATTTTGCATTAGATGTTGAATTCATTAGCTGTGCCATTTTATAAACAGGGAAAAAATTGAATTAAACTTGATTTTTACTTTAAACTGGGTTGACACATTTACATATAGTGGAACAACTAAAAACCAATTGTTCTGCAAGCACAGGATCCATAAAATTGTTAATGCTGCACATATTTTGCAGTTACATTATGGAAATGTGGAATGTATATTTAAATGGTAGATACCCACATAAACAACATTTTGCATAAATACTGTGAATAAGCTTATAGGATCTTTAGAAGGTGTGTTATAGTTAGGGTTTTTCCCCCATACCACAAAGGGAGAATCCCAATTCTATTTCACTAACAGTAACCAATATCCAAAGCTTGAGGAACTAACCAGTTAGCTGCAGACCCATGGAGTAGTTCAGTCTCTATCCCTAATGACATGTGATACAGTTTATAAACCTTTCAACTGAAGCAAGACTATCCAGCTTCCATTTCCCCCCTCTTTTGCTGAAACGTAACAGCCAGTGATACATGCATGTTATTAAAAATTAGGACAAAGTCGTTTCTAATACAGAATGATTATTTTGTAAGTCTCTTCGATTTTGGAAGCTGTATTGGGCCAGGTTAAACACTCCAAATTCCTTCGTTATTAACAAGTTAGGAAGCAGAAGAATATTCAAGACAGTTTAAAGCAGCTGAAGGTTTAGTTACTACAGCATTGACTCTTAGTTGGTTGTGTTGGTTCAGTAAGATCTACTCCTCTTCCTCGGACAGAGTTGGCCCCTGCATTCTGTTGTTCATTCTTCGGCAACTTTTTAGCTGCAAGGAAAGGTAATTTTTAAAAACTAGCATTGAAACTTTTTTGGTAAGCGTTTCCTACACACATTCACATCTAATAAATGACAATTCTATACAAGCATATAAGGGTATGCAAGGGATCCTAAGTAAAATCAGGCCAATTTAGAGAGGTATGTGATACACTGCACCAAAGTGAGACCGCTCTGAATCACCCCCAAACCAAATCAGGGACCTCCAAAGTCATTTGGACCTTAAAAAACTGCAGTGTGACTGCAAAAACCATAGGTGGGATACAAACCTGCTGTTCTACTTGTACAATGGAACTTTTCCCTTTCATTTCCCCTTCAGCCTCAAAATCTTGGGAGATTTGGGGGCATAAGGGTGAAGGAGAAAACCTACTGAACACAGTCCACTTCTCCCAAACCTTGCCATGTATGGAAAACATCAGGGCTGGGAGAGACAGTTCTTGTGGCTAACAGGGGAGCTTCTAATCAAGAGGGAATAAATTTACCAGGCCTTTGAGGAAGAGATGATGAAGCGATGTACAATATTGTTCCTTTCTGTTCTGTACTGTTTTGCTAGTTCTGCAATGGTGCTTGCTTAGAAAACTCTAGATATTCAAGTCCTTCTGCCTCTGCGCCACATGCCCATATTCATGTCAAATCAGCTTTGCACTTAATAATTTCTGTGAATTTTGGTACCAACTGACCAGAACACAAGCTTAAAGTCTCTCTCTCTCTCTTCCCCACCCCCATCCAATCTACCCTAACTATAGTTCCTGCATCTATCTTGCTGGTTACTCTCCAAGGGGCACCACTGATACACCATTTTTCATACTAAAATGAATTGCTGCCCACAAAAACCACAGTGTGGGGAAGCCTGCTTCCATCCCACCCACCCCAAATCATCTTTTCAGATACCTAGTATAAAAACTACTCCGCTCTTCTGAAACGTGGCAGGGTTTTTTTTAACCTATGGGCACTTCTCTAATGCTTGCTATTTTCCTACAAATTGCTCACAGAATAGGGGAAATTAAGGAAATGCTTTTTTAACCACTGCCTGCTCCAAGGAATCAAATGAGGGCAGAATAAAATGGAAAACATATATGTGACTCTCTATTTCACTAGCTCCAGTTAGCAGAGGAAAAACACTGTACTCTTGGGTTATCACACCAGTATGGAGAAGTTATCCCGCAACGTGGACAATGTGAGTTTTGGTTCTGTTTAAATCAAACGTTAGCAAATAGTGTCCCAATAAATAAGTTCAGAGTTTACCTGGACTTAACAAAAAATGTGTGGTGGTCCCCACAGGCAACAGGCTTTCCCACCCTGCTTTCCACAGCTGCCCTATAGGCTCTATAAAAAGCCACTAATGAAGGTTCGGAAAACCCACAAAATGTGCATACAATGTAGCCTTGCAACCATAAATCAGCAACCTTCCACCTCAAAGGCAAAAGCAGAAATGCCTTCCACATTCAAAGGACTGTTTTCTGGTAGACTCATAAGAATTTGGGACTGAAAACCAGTCATGTCATAACTCTGAAATCCTTAAATCTACATTTCTTTTCAATATTCTGCATTCCCCTGATATTATTAAATAAAGCTTTTTAGATTTGTACATTCCTTCACAATATTCTAATTTTGCTCAACACTGCCATTTATCTTGTTTGTTCATTGTAAAAGGTCAAACAATGTATGATTTAGAATGGCAAAAGCTTACTGAGTAAACAAATCAGTGCTCAGAAACAATGGCTCCATTAAGCACTACTATCAGATAACTTGTTTGGTGAATGCTATTAAGTCCCACACTCTTCAATGAAGCACATACAAATATGTTTTTAAAATGTACCTTCCATTAAAGCTTTACTTACCAATTGCCATGAATATTTCATTTACATTCATTGACGTTTTAGCCGACGTCTCCATGAACAATAAACTGTTGTCATCCGCATAAGACTGTGCTTCCTGTAAATTAAGCATACAAGTTTATTATTTCTTCATATGGTTGTGGACTATACACAGCATTTTTTTTACTGCCAGCTTAGAATCTACTGTTCCTTTTCAAAGGCTAAATGTCACCATGCCAAGTTTGATAAGCTCTTTTCCCTGCCCCCTAAAAAACAAATAAATCAGTCTTTAGGGTTTCAAAAGGCTACTGCACAAATCTGTACCAACACAAAAATACTGCAAATCACAAATCTAAACAATTCTGGTGTAATAAAAATGAGAGGCGAGTATGAAAGTGTGCAGCAATTGTGGGAATGAAAAATGGGAGTAAAACTTTAAAAAAATCCCCAAAAAACACCACTGACAAGTAACCTTTCTAGAACCCAGAAAAGCTCATCAATGCTGGAATCTAGAGCTATAGGACTATGCAGTAAGATCAGTATCAGTTATTCAGAAATCTTAAAATAGGAGCAGAAAACAAGCTTTTTATGAATGCAAAGTCTCTCCACACTACTATTTTTATTATGGAAAAGGCATGTTATGATCACAGCAACTTTAGAAGACACAGACATCATTACAGTGCTGCCTGTATCGGAAAACATCCAATTTGCACAACAGGACATCAGGATCCTCTACTTCCTGCTTCCAACCAAAGAAAGAAGTACCTTTACACAAATCAGTTATCTTTCTGGCTCAGAATGCATCTTAAAAAAAAATGCACTTTGCAGACTTTAATTGGGCCTTCACTAAAATACAATGGAAGAAAAACCAGCTTATGTTGAATAACACACCATCCATGAATATCTTCAGCTCCAAAGACACGTAAGCCCAGAGCAGTCGCTTTTTGTGTCTTAAAGTCATATTTCTAACATTTGTGGCTACAAATACAGGTTTGGAAAGGAGACTGAAGGCTAGCAGTAACATTATCCAGAGAGGCAAGTCTAAAGTCAAACTAACTATTCTCAACATATAAATATTTGGCAAAACACTGAAATTTTTCCTAAAATTGCCCATTTTAGGAAAGAATACTGTAGAAGACTTGACCACTAGCAAATTTGTTATTTGCTAAATTCATGAATATATTTTGCATGTATTCAAATCAGCAGCGAACTTGCATATCTCAATCTAATGTTGATGCTTCCCTCAGTAATAAATTGTACACCCTTCCTTTAAAGCAGTTAATAGAAGGTGCCATATAAATGCTTACATAGGGAATTAAAGATGTGCCCCTCCCATAACCACTGTGTGTGCAGGGACATTTTCCAGGTTTTTACTGCTTGAAATTTTTCAGAATACAGTGGTGCCCCGCAAGACGAATGCCTCGCAAGACGAAAAACTCGCTAGACGAAAGGGTTTTCCGTTTTTTGAGTCGTTCCGCAAGACAAATTTCCCTATGGGCTTGCTTCGCAAGACGAAACGTCTTGCGAGTTCTTGCGAGTTTGTTTCCTTTTTCTTAAAGCTGCTAAGCCGTTAATAGCCGCTAAGCCGCTAATAGCCGTGCTTCGCAAGACGAAAAAAACGCAAGACGAAGAGACTCGCGGAACGGATTAATTTCGTCTTGCGAGGCACCACTGTAAGGCTCAGTGGTAGAGTATCTGCTTTGCACACACAGGGTCCCAGATTCAATCCCTGACATTCCAGTGTATGCACTGGGGTTGCAGTATCAGACCCAACCAATATTGTTTTCACTAAACATATTGCGTTTATATTCAAATTAAAAGTTAACACACAGGTATTTCCCCCCTTTTTCATACATTCAATAACCTTGTTAGGCAGACTGTGAGGTTTAAACAGGCCCACTATCTGCTTCATGAATGAGTGGAGCCTTAACTCCAGATCCTCGTACAAACATAATGTTCAACTTACCCCACTGCAAACTTATTTACTGCCATCCCTTCTAGTAGCTTCACAGGAGAACGCTATACAGTGGTACCTCGGGTTAAATACTTAATTCGCTCCGGAGGTCCGTACTTAACCTGAAACTGTTCTTAACCTGAAGCACCACTTTAGCTAATGGGGCCTCCCACTGCTGCCGTGCCGCTGGAGCACAATTTCCGTTCTCATCCTGAAGCAAAGTTCTTAACCTGGAGCACTATTTCTGGGTTAGCGGAGTCTGTAACCTGAAGTGTATGTAACCTGAAGCGTATGTAACCCGAGGTACCACTGTACTCTTCAGATCTGCCTACATCATTATATATTGATTTATGTG